CCTGTAGGAAGTCTTGCTGTGAGGTTGCTGCAGGCTGGCAGTAATGGTGATATTGACCACACATTTCTGGAAAGGCAGTGCAAAGTGCAGATTCTCAGAATTAGCACATAATCGGCATAAAAAGAAGTGAAGAGAAATATGCTGATAAAGTGAGGTCTTGACTGCCCTGTCAATATATTTAAATGCAGAGTCAGGAGGCGGCGATGGCTATTTCAGGCTAGAATGTGGTATGCAGTTGTCAAAACCACCGGAGTACAGGATGCTCACCATACTCCCCAGTGAGTGCGTCAGCGGGTCCGTCCTCCGTCCCAGGAAATGGAAGTGTTTCGGTGTAGAATGAGATCAATACAAGACATTTTCCTCAATAACTTTTGCTTTCCAAGGACATGTTTAGTGATTCTTCCATTCGTGCCATGAAGGATTTAAGGTTATCTTGTTCATAAGTTTGAGATTCTCTGAATGTATCTGTCTCCATTCCCATTTATTTGTCCATTTGAGTTCCTGGGAAGAGTATTTATTGTATTTCAAAAATTGGAAGTAAATGATGAAAGTGCTGCATTTTTTTCAAAGATGTTATTGTCATAAATTTATAACTATTTGAGAATTTATTTTACTTGCCAAAGTGTCTCCACATTCAAGGGTTTGCGGTTTCATCTTAGAGACGGAAGGCCAGCGGCCCATTATCAAGGCTGTTGAAATACTGTTGCTTGTACCCTTAAATGATAGGAGTTAAACCACACTTTTATATTTTTTTAATATTTACAGATGCTTAATCTTTAATTGTTCCTACTCTTTATTTCCATATAGAGGTTAATTTGCTCTTTGAAAAGGAGTCTGGCCTTGTTTGTAAATTTGTAGTTTCACATAATAACCCAGCAATTTCACCCTTTGGTACATATCCAAGACACATTTCTGTACTTGTACACCAGAAGATATGCACAAGAATGGTCCTCACAGCATTGTCCCCAGAAAAATCTGGACACAACCCAAATACCCTTCTGCAGGGGAGTGAATAAATAAACTGTGGCAGAGTCAGAATGGAATATTATACAGTGAAGGAGTGTTATACAATGAACTACAGCCTCTTGTAATAATGTGAATGAAGCTTAGCCAAAATTGCTTATAGCAGGAAAGTCTTATAAATTAAAGACGACTCAAACATAAATACACAATCACAATGGAAGCAGGAGAATGATGAGCAAGGAAGTCAGGTTGGTGTAAGCCATGATTTTAAACAGAGAAAGCATACCCATAAAAACACTGAGACTCACTTTGGATTAGTCACTGTAGAAAAAAAAAAAAAAAAAAGGCAAAATAGAATTATATTTTCTCCTAATAGTTATTTATCTCTCTAATATACAGGTATGAGAAATTGGGTAGTCTTTAATTAGTTTTTAATCACCTCTAAACTTAATTATTTCCCTTTCTTACTGATGCTCAAGTAAATCTTGATTTGACTAAAGTAAATCTTGACTCTACAATCAAGATATTTGTTTTAATGGAAAATAATGCCATCATAAAGTAACATACTACATGGATTATCAAAGTATTTGAATATAATTTATTTCATTTTTAAAACTGATTTAAATTAATATGAAAAACCTCTAATACCAGGAAACCTATTTCATCCTAAAAATTATATAGTTTATTGGGTCACATCATTTGTGATCAGTAGGAAATAATCGTTCTAATTATAAATAGAATGTTCTCCAAGACAATTCTAACAAAAATTGAAATTTATACATTTTTGGCATTGCTATTTATGGTAACATCACTTATTCTAACACTTGTAAAGGTGAAGTGGGCTCATATTAAAAGGCATTTCAGCCCTGGCTGATTCAGCTCAGTGGTTAGAGTGTCAGCTCTAAGACTGAAGAGTCTTGGGCTTGATTCTGGTCAAGGGCATGTACCTCAGTTTGGCTCGGTCCCTGACCCTTGTTGGGGTCATGTGGGAGGCAGCCAATCAATGTGTCTCTTTCACATCTGTGTTTCTCTCTCTCTCTCCCTCCCACTCTATATTAAGATAAATGGAAAAAAATATCCTCAGGTAAGGATTAAATAAAAAGGCCAGGCCAGTATGGCTCAGTGGTTGAATGTCGACCCAAGAGGTCACCAGTTTGATTCCCAGTGAGGGCCCATGCCCAGGTTGTGGGCCAAATCCCCAGTGGGGGGCATGCAGGAGGCAACCAATCAATGTTCTCTCTCATCAATGTTTGTATCTCTCCCTCTCCCTTCTTCTCTCTCTGGGATCAATACAGAAAAAAAACAATTAAAAATAAATTAATTTAAAAAAATAAAAAGGCATTTCAGCCCTGGCCTATTTGGCTCAGCAGTTGGAGCATCAGCCCACAGACCAGAGAGACCCAGGTTTGGTTCCCGCTAAGGGCACATACCTCGGTTGTGGTTTGTCCCCGGCCCCGGTTGGAGTTGTGTGGGTAGCAACCAGTCGATGCGTCTCTCTTCCTCCTTTTCTCCCTCCTGCTCTATCTGAAGATAAATGCAAAAATGTCCTTGGGTGAGGGAAAAAAAAAGGCATTTTGTTAAAACCTCAGTGTGCTCATAAAACCAAATCAATGAAGGTAAAGTAAAAGGAGTTATTAATACTTATACAGCACTTAGTATGAGTCAACCACTTTGTTTTAAGTACTTTACAAGTGTCATTTCATTTAATCTCCTGTCACAATCCTATGAGATAGTTAATATTATCATTTACAAACACAGAAACAATTTGGTAAAGAATTTAAGGTCACATAGGTACAGTAGTCCAGTCTCCCTGTATTCCTGGAGGATACGTTCCCAAGACCCCCAATGCATGCCTGAAACCACAGATAGTATCAAACCCTATATACACTATGTTTTCTCCTATACATACATATCTATGGTAAAGTTTAATTTATAAATTAGGCCCAGTAAGATATTAACAACAGCAATAACTAGTAATAAAATAGAACAATCATAACAATATACTGTAATAAAACTTTTGTGAATGTGTTGTTTCTCTCTCCCCAGTAATTTTTATGTTTTTCAGTCCAAACATTTCTGAATCTATGTAATTGTTTACTTGCGGAAATGGCTAGGTGGTGCTCATTTCAGGGGATGCTATGCTGAAGTCTCTGTGGAGGCTCAGTGCTTTCTGGGCAACACGTTGTTATCCATTGGAACATTTTCTGTTTGTCTTGTACCCACAAACTTACTGCCTTTTCCAATTTGACTAAGCATTGATTATGCACTGTGGCCATAACTTTTGCAGTTCAAGGTGCCACAGGAAAATTAGCATGAATTCCTTTTCCCTTCACAATTTCAATAATAAAAGATTCGTTCTTACCTTGGATCTTAGCAACCTCAGTATACGATTTTTCTTCTTATTAAGTCAAGAACTTTCATCCTTTCACTTAAAGGAAGCACATTATGGCTTCTCTTTGGCATATCCGAATTGCCAGCACAATTATTCTTGTGCTTTGGGGCCTTATTAAGTAAAGGAAGGGCCCCTTGAACACAAGCATTGTGAGTCCATGACAGTGGCTCTGATATCCAGGGCCTACTAAGGGACTAACTGGTGGGAGCATCTACAGAGAGGAGATGCCGGACAAAGGGATGACTCATGTCCCAGGTGGGATGGAGCAGGATGGTGTGAGATTTTATCACACTACTGAGAATGGCATGCAATTTAAAGCTTATGAATTGTTTGTTTCTAATATTCCTCATCTAATGTTTTGGGACTGCAGTTGACCTCCAATAACTAAAAGAAAAACGGTGGCTAAGGAGGGACCACTTAGTAGGTGGCAGACCCAGGATCCTAACCCAGGAAGTGACTCCCAAGGCTGGGTTCTTACCTAGGGCTCTGCAGCCACTCAGTGGCACTTGATGTGACTTTTTGTGTTCTCACTTCCTGCAGTGACATCATACATTTTGTAACACTGATTAGTCACCTCATTTGCCTCGCTTTTCTGTTTCTTACTCACTTGACTGGGGAAAGCAGCTGACCTGTCTCAGTTAAGCCAATGTGTAGTAATTCTAACTGGATTGTTTTCATTCTCTTAGACATCTGTCTAAAAGATGGATTGTGATTATTCCCTTAGCAACTTTACTGTGTTTAATTATTGACCAAATAACCAAATCTTTGAGACTTGAGGGAAAGCTTTTCATATTTCTGCCTGTGAATTTTGGAACACTGTTAGGTATTTGGCTGTATACTAGACTGCTAGGCTTTTATATGAGAGGCATATATCTAATACTAAACTCTATGATATGTTAGAGATTATAAAGCTATATAGAAATTAAAATTATCCTTCAGTTTTCTTTTTGTACAGACTCCTGATCACTAAGTTTAGTGTCACTCCTGATGACCCAGGAAGGTCTCTTATATCAAATTGTATTCAAATAAGAGATTCTTGATTTTAACAAACGTAAAGACAAAAATCAAATGGAAGATTCCACTATGGGTTAAAAACCCAAATATCATCTTAATATGGGGCAAGATAAAAAAATTGAACCCACTTTATGCAGTGAATAAAGCTTGTGGTTTTCAGGACGTCTTCAGTTAGAAATTCTTTAACATTAAAAAAAATTAAATTCACCCTGGCTGGTATGGCTCAGCGGTTATAGCATCGGCCCACAGACAAAAGAGTCTCAGGTTCAATTTCTGGTCAAAGGCACATACCTCAGTTGTGGGTTTGATCCCTGACCCTGGTCAGGGTCATTTGGGAGACAATCAATCGATATATATCACATCTATGTTTCTCTCTTTCTCCCTCTCTCCCACTCTATCTTAAAAAAAAAAAAATAAAAATGTGGAAAAATATCTTCAGGTAAAGATTAAAAATTTTTTAAGTTAAATGCTTAAGGAGCATAGAAAAGGTAAAAATGCTTCTTTTTTGATGGCCTATCTCAGTCTTTAGAAAATTTTTCCTGAATAAAGTGTTAGAATTTAATATACCCGTGTATTTTTGTTTTTGTTACTGTGAAATATGCCTGAGAATATTTTTTATTTTTCTTTTCAGATGACAGAAAGGATGCTCAGGAGAGTAGCTTAAGAGACTTAATAAGAGAGCTGCCAGACACGCACTACTGCCTCCTCGCGTACCTCTGCCAGTTCTTGACAGAAGTAGCCAAGCACCATGTGCAGAATCGCATGAATGTGCACAATCTCGCCACTGTATTTGGGCCCAGTTGCTTTCAGTAAGTTAGTGGAGTTTTGTTTTAACTATTATCACATACCCCTTCTCTTTTAGCACTGCCTGAAATTACGGGGATGTCGATGCCTATTTCCAACTGCAGTCAACCGATTTATTAGAGAAATTCCATCTTGGGATCGGGTGTTTTAGCCTTGTTTTTTCCAATTTTGAAGACAGAAGATAATACCTTCTTATAAAATAGTTCAAAGAGTCTTTAAAATTCTGGAAATAAGTTTTGCTTTCACCAAAAAGAGCATTTAAAAAATCTAATCTGGCTCAGCCAGTGTGGCTCGGTGGATTGAGCGTCATCCCATACATAGACTGAGAGGTCCTGGTTCAATTCCCAGTCAGGACACATGCCCAGGTTTGGGGCCTGATCCCAGTAGGGGGCATGCAGGAAACAGCCAATCATGGATGCTTCTGACTGACAATCTTCAGAAGAGGGGGAAGAGGAGAGGGAAGAGATAAACTGCAGAACTTATATGCCTGTACGTATAACCAATAGACATGGTCAACAAAGCTGGGGACAGGGTGGGGGGGATGGGGAGAAGGGTGTCAAGGGGGAAAAAAAGGAGAAACATCTGTAACAAAAATAAATCAATAAAAAAAAATCTAATCTGAAACATTGATTAGTAGAAAGGGAAGGAATATGATTAGCACATAATTTTTTAAATAGTGATAAAGTTCAAAACATTGCTAATGAAAAATCACAAGCAGAATATGTCAGTGACAGAAAAATGTAACCTCAGCTACATTTATTTCTTCTCTAGGAAAAAACTAGACTAGAAGTAAACTAGTTTCTGTGTTGAGTGGTACCTCACTCACCACAAGAACTTTTGTAAAGCTTTGAATTTTCTTTTCCCCGTTATTCCTAAGCCCTTTAATGTATGAAACATGATCTCACAATCCAGGGACTTTGCTTTTAAATCTCCTATTAATCCCCATTGATATCAGACACATTCTCTAGTTGTAAGGTGAGAAAAAGAGAACACTCACACTTTAGCTCTCAGAAATTCTCAGGAAGTTTTTTGTTGTTGTTTTTTAATAGTGTATCTGCTTATTCAGTCCATTAATCTACAGACCCATTCAGCTGCCCAGAATTAGTATTTTACAGCCCAAGAACCACCATCTAAATATAAACTCTGGCTTAGATCATAGTGGCTACCAGGTTCCAGGATGTTTGCAGCCAACTAGGAGAAGTTCTACCATAATAATAATCTCCTTTGTAACCTTAGAGATTTAAATTTTAAATAATGGCATTTCAAAGGCTATGTTAGGGTCTCATGAATAAATGTCTCAAACACAGGCTTCACCAATTTCTTATTCAGGAGCTCTGTGGTAGTAAAAGAAAAAAAAAGAAAAAAAAAGAAAGAAAGAAAGAAAGCTCTATTTCTTTTTACTTCTATCTGCAGAGTAAGTTTGGTGACTTACATATTAGAAATAGAGGTAAGTAGAAAACTACTGAACAATTTTGAAACCCTTGATTCTAGAAGAGGTGAAAACAAATTTGTAAATAGAATGCATATTTAATAGCACACAGATGCATATCTCATTGAAGACTTATTGAATTGAGCTTGATCTGGAACTTCTGATTACTTGTTTCAATTAGTCAAAATATCAAATATGTGATGAGTTTTTATTATAGAGTGTACTAATTATTATAACAATTTTTTTTTTATTGTGGTAAAATATACATAAGAAAATTTACCATTTTAGCCCTTGTTAAGTGTACAGTTCACTGGCATTAAGTACATTCCTACTGTTGTGATCTATTAATTTGTATGTATTTCTAAACTTAATAGATATAGAAGTCACTACCAGGTCCTTTTCTCATTGAAATAGAATAAATGCTTATAACAGATAGTGTTTATTGAGCACTTAGTACTGTGCTGTCTCATTTGTCTTATTCCAAAGAGGCAGAAGTGGTTATTTTGTCCTTGAAGTTTCTCTAACTAGGTCAAGGAAAGGAGACACTTTAACTCTAGTGACCACAGTTAGTCCGTATATGTTATAAAAAGGATCATTAGAAAGCTGACATTCAAAGATAAGTCTCAGCATGAGCCACTAAAAGACAAAGGAAATATTTTTCCTTTTTAAACTTTACCTGAGGATATTTTTCCATTAATTTTTAGAGTGGAAGGGAGGGGAGGGGGAGAGAGATAGAGAAACATCGGTGTGAGACAGACACATTGATTGGCTGCTTCCCACATGACCGTAACCACGGCCAGGGATCAAACCTGCAACCAAGGTACATGCCCTTGCCTGGGAATCGAACCCATGACCCGACTTTTCGGTCCAGGACCAGTGCTCTAACCACTGAGAAAAACCAACCAAGGTAGAAATACTTTTCTGAATAACTACGGTGAATACATTGTATAGTCAATAGACGAGGAAGATTTATTAATAATAGATAAGGGAACAACCTCATGAAATAATAATTTTTGAAAGAATATAAAATTTTCAATACAAAATATTATCTATGAAATATAGAATCATAAAAATGAAAAGAAATACACTAACAATAAATGATTGGTGTTCTGGGTGCTGGATTTCTAAGTGACTCGTAAGTATGAGTTTTTCAACGTGTACATCTAGTTACAGGTTTATTACATTTAGATGATTGGATAATAATATAATTGTAAAATTTTTAAACAGTATAGAAGCATGTAAAATAAATATGAAATATCCTCTATTAACCTCCCATTCCAACCTCCTCCCTAGAGATAAAATTAGTAACCAGTAGGTGTATATCCTTCCATACCTCTTTCAGAACATAGTGAAACTTTTATTTTTAATTATAAATTGGATCCTGGTGCATATATTGTGAAGCTTGATTGTTTTTATGGTAGCACGTGAACTTTTAATATCGACATATTTATATATCTCATTCTTTTAAAAATATAGAATAGTGTGACTTTACCCTAATTTAACTACTAATGAGTACTGAGGTTGTTGTCATTTAAAAAACAAAAATTAAAACAGAATTTTAGTGTACGATGCTAAGTGGGTACTGGAAATAATGGGGGACACTTCATAAAGTATATGACTTATCTAACCACTATGCTGTACACCTGAAAGCAATACAAAATAATACTAAAAGTAAACTGTGATTGAAAAAAAATCAACCACCAATTTAAAAATGGTTTAAAAAAAAAAAACAGTTACAGTGAACATCTTGAAGGCAACTCTTTATGTATGCCTGCAACTATTTTTTTAGAATAGCTATCCTAGAAGTGGAACTGCTCGACTGGGGTGGTTTACACAGTTTATAATATACTATGGCAATGCTATAATGATGTCTTTGTAGTATACTATGGCACAGTAATAAGTATTGTTCTGTGAAAAAATTCATCAAACTTGAGACTGTAATCTAGATATGATCTGTATGATTTTTTCCTAGGAAATTGTAATATCTCCATTTCTCAGATGAGTAAAAATCCTCCTAAAGAATATTATTCTTAGAGGTTAGCATGAATTGCTTTCCCAAAGTTTTGATAGTTATTAAAATGAGTACTGGGTGTCAGTGGTTTGAATAGCATGATGTAAAAGATTAGCCTAGTCCTTCTACTGCCACTGGTAGGTTTGACCTTCTCATTATTTATTTTTCTGTTTACATTTTCTGTAAAATGGGGCCTACAAAGTTTGTTTTGAAGCTAAGCAAGACCCTAAGAGAAAGCCCTGGTGCATGGGAGACAACTGGTAGAGGAGTGATGGAAAACTCATACATTTGACTGAATACATGTATAATTGCATTAAGAGAAAGATCAAGCCTGACAGATTTGGCCCATCATATCACTGAACAAAGTGGGCTCCATAAAAACATGATCAACTTTTCTCAGTTGTCTTAGTTTTCACTTTCTTCTTACATATAGTACAAGCTTCTTACAGTAGTATAAGTGCTTTTTAATATGTAAGGAAAATATTTTTCTTGTCTAATGAAACTTCTAAATACAAACCAACTTCTTCAGCTTAGTACTTGTAACAGACATGTATCTATGACTTCCCCAAATTGCCTTGGCACTACCCACCTCAGACTAATCTGCCACCAGGGACGGACCTTCCACCTGCCTTGGGAATTCTGGATCCTTCTCCTTGGCTGCTGCCTTGTAGCTGAGTCAGCCAGCCACCTGCCCAGAGTTGCTGGCTTCCCCAGTCATTTTTGAATGAACACTGTTCTAGGCTCTCAATTACTGACAGGCTGCCAGAGGGGCTAGAGATGTAACCTGGAAGTCTAGCACAGTTAAATCCCTTTGACTATGGGAAGTAGGAGTCAGGAGGTAAAAAGGTGCATCTCCTCTTTCTCCAACCCATGGAATCCATCTGCTGAATTCCAAATTGCCAACAAAGCATCTGTCAATCAAACTGTTGTACATCATTGAGGTTCTTTGTGAAATCGCTATGCACACTTTACATTGTTTCACACCCCTAGTTGCCTCATTTTCTCACCCATGATGTACTGTATTCCTACTCCCAAAATAATGCACCAACATCCTTGTCCTTGGCTCAGTCTGTTTTCAATTTGCCCTAAGGCAACGTGCACCTGGGAACACAACAGACTGCTTCAATACAGGAGGAAAACCTACTTTCTTAAGATACGGTGAGGCATATTGTACTTCAACAATTTAAAGGATAGTGTCGGCTATGCATGATTTTTCTTTTCACATGCTGATTTTGGAAACTAATTTTCTCATAAACAGTAACTCCATGTGTCAACCAGTGGTTGTTGGCGCCAAATCAATACCAACAAGAATCCCCAATTTGAGGTGTGGTGAAGAAGGAAACTTTATGCAGTGCAATATGGCTCAATTGTGATATAGCACGTCTGTAGAACAGCTCTGGGGCCAGGTGGCCCTGGGACCAGGTCACTCTCTTGTTGGACAGCCCTGCTCTGCTCCTCCATGGTCTGGTCTGCTCTGCCCTGTGCCAGTCTGCTTTGTGCTCTGCTGCTCTGCTTCAGGGCTCTACTCCACGCAGGTCTGCTTCAGTCTTCTCTGGTGACACCTC